TTCTCTCTTTAGGCTAGCACGCGGTATTACCCTGAGGTCTTTGCAAGTTTCATTGTGTTCGCTTCCAGCCAGGATGCGCCAGCGAGCATCCATAATTTCCAGAGACGTCGAACAGACCCAATGTTCATGTTGGTTATTAGAATTACCACATGAGGATTTGGCTGCTGCTAGTAATGCCTGGTGAACATGCGACCAGTGACCTTCAACTGCAATCAGTGATCGCTTACTCAGCCCGGATGCCAGTGTACTTCGACACGCATTCAGAAAATCTGGCCTCGTCTGTTGGCTGATGCCAATGCGTTCAGAGCGTCCTCGTCGGCGCCCGTCAGAACGCACCCGCAGGTCAGTACATACAAGTAAATAAATGAATAAATAGTATATTCCTCTGCGGTGCGACACACAGTCATACTAGATGGTCTGACTAATGTTTCTATCATGGTCAGTGTCCACATCTGCTCCAAATTGAGCGACATTTTGGACACAGTTTCTCCAGCGGTAACTGATCGCAATGTGATCGATTTGCGTCCAAAGTTAGTCTAAAGCTGGTGGCCGCTACGTCACCCTTCTGCGGATGCTGTCGGAAGTTTGTGATCGCAAGAACCAAGCGAGCATCTTCACACAAATGAAGTAACCGCTCACTGTTATTGTTATGGGAGTCTTTACCTTGTGTGCTACCCAGATGAAGTACATCGGTGGACAATTTTCCAACTTGAGCTTTCAGATCTCCAGCCAGCACTGGTGTCCGTTCTTCTGCGACGAAAGAGTTTGTTCAGTTGATGATCAAGTCATCTTTTACCGAGTCATCTCTGCAGTTTGTGGGCACGTAGGCAGCGATGACGAATAGACAGCTATTACTCCCGCGCGATTTCGAGGCTTTGAACAGGCCAGCCAGTCGGACCGCACACATCCGGCTATTAGTTGGGATCCAATCAACCAGAACAGATTCAGCCTGGTTACTCGAGGCAATACCAACACCGGCTTGGCCGGCACTCGACGCTGCATCGTCTCCGGATAGGCGCAATGAGAAAGCACTGCTGATGTCACCTGAAGGCGTCGCAGAGTGAGCACAAAGCTCGAGTCTTGAAGGTGGGTTTCCGTTAGGCATCAGATATCGCTCGAGACGGTCTCCATTGTGCGGGCCAATGCTGCCTGTTGACCGATCTGCAGCAATGTGTGTACATTAAGGCATGCCAATCCGAAGGAGAATCGAGAATTGCAAATGGAAGCCGATGAACTGGGGTGGACCGCTTGGTTGGACATGGGCTTGTCGACAGGACGGGAGTGACTCACCGCATTTGCGTTTGAGTTGAAACTAGAAGATAAATTCCTAGCAAGGCGTGTTGTGGGAGCGCCAAGTATTGGTGTGTTGAAAATCGGGGGGAGGGTCAAAGTGATGTTGGAATGGGAGGATAAGGGTGGAAAAGCGTGAGCTGGGAATTAGAAAACTGGAAGGCTTGGGCAGTAGCATCCAAACCCCTATCCACCCTGCTCGATGCAGCAGGTAGGGCGCCGTTTAATATCCTCTGCGATGGCCAGAGCATCAAGAAATTGTTTAAAGAGCACTTCTTTGTATTGCGTGGGCAGGATACTGTCAGGTTGCTCAGGCCTAGGCAGGAGAACGATTAGGGTTCTCAACCAAAGCCTTCGGTTCAAAAACATGACCGCAAAGCCGCGGGTTCGGCGGTGGCTTACAAGCAGTCCCTCATTTCAACCCCCAACCTGGAAGACAAGGAGGCTGAGTTTGTCTGGCATCTAACCACTGACCAATTTGGTATCCGTGGCTCTGTAGGTACCAGAAAGCGCTTCCGAGCATAACTCAATGGATCTCTGAGGTTCGCGAATCATCGTACCACGGTAATGTCCATCATCCTTGCGATGGTCATAAATAGGCTAGTAACGTTCGGCCACCGGTGCCTTCGCAGTTTAGCTCACATCTGCTGGTAACACCGCGTGAGCAGCGAGCGTGTTCGACCTCTTGCTTACGGAACAGGAAGTGGAACTGAACCGCTCAGCACCGTCATTTCACGTACCAGGCTCCGATAACTGGGTCACGTGTTGCGCTTGGCAGATCACCACTCTTGCGACGTAAATTGTTTTCGCGCCGGGCGTATGAATGGAGGAAGGGGAGAGGTGGCCAATTGATGACTTGGTCAAGAGGAATGAGGACCCGTACTTTGACATTGGCTCCGGTTGGAGCGTCTCGGTTACCTGGTTGGGGTCCAAAAGATGATGAACACGTTTGGCTGGGTGCACTTTCTGACATGGCTGATAGCCGATTTCAATAGCGTTCGTGTTTTGGGTTTCTTTGTCCCTTTCCATCCCTCTTAGCCTGCCCCTCCGACCGCGATATCATTTGGTAGCATAATAAAAAAATTTACTGTTTATTACCCGGCCGGTATATTTCCATCACGATGCCTTCCATTACCGGTAGCTCAAGTGGCGGACCTCGTTTGCGGCTTTTTTTTCTCCTTTTCATTTATTGCGGTACAGTAGCTGAGGTATTTTCCACCTCTTTCTAACGTGTATAATGACGATTGAATATTGTCGCTAATCAATTCGCTGGATAGGAGTAAACCCGAACCACCCAGCTGGCACCACGAGGAGCTAGTTCCTCAAGCCAGTCTCTAGGTGAGCGTCTGGCGTCTTCTCATGGTCGCTGTGAGCTGCTTGTACTGATCACTCCGTATGCAACCATTGGTAGCATGCTTCCCGTTGAACTCCTGTTTTTGGACATACTCTCGGATATCTAGGACTTGTCGAGAAATTGGTCCTTATGGAAAGCAAGCTACGTGTTGCATTGAAGCACTTGAGTTTGTAACAGTCATCCAGTTTGTATAAAGTTGTTCTGGTTAATGATTTTGTTGTCCGCGGCCAGGATATCAACAATTCCATTGTCTCTCATGTGCAGCCTTTTACGTTGTCTACTTCCTGGAGCTAGAACGTCCCTTACTAGTGGATAGATATTAACAGATTCCCGAAGTTTGTTGGAATAAATCTTTTCCAAAGGCTGAACTTGATCCCTGTCAACAATGTTACCTTACCGTAGGAGATCCATTTTCTTATGAACTAGATAATGCCGATTCTCGGGGTGCCACACCCACGCTGGTTGCTACTTTGGAATGGCTATCTTTATGATCAACTTCTGAATCTAGGCTTACGTGTCGTTTATGTCTTGAGGAATTTTCTCTTTAGGGCATATGAAAGACCGTTGTCTTCTTCCAAATGCCTCTCGTTGGACTGATATTACATTCTTTAAATTCACCTTTTTAATTCGGGATTCGCGGCTGTAAGATTTCTAGCGCGGGTTATCTTTTCTGCATTGGCTTAGTCAGAGAGCTTTACAATGATCGGGTAGCTGTGTTCTTCTTTAACCGAAAGAATTTATCGTCTATGGACCGTAGGTTGCTAGCTTCCAGGATTACCTCTTCAGTTCCAATATTAAGCTTATCTAACAACTTGAAAGCGGCTACATTTTTATGCCGACGTATACGGTTACAAATTTCAGATGCAACTGCAGATTTGAAGTGTGATGCCTTTAGCAAGTTCTCTACTTTGGGTTTCTCGGGCAGTATACTCAAGGAGAAGAAAGAAATTGGTCGGTTGCACAAGCCATTTATCCTCGAAACGTTTTTACTGATTCATTCGACATCTCCATCAAGCCGATCTGCCCCGTCGAATTGTCCTGCAGGATTGTTTGTTGTGGAAACTGGACGTTCTTTGCGAATTACAGGAGTTTATCTAGATTTACGTAGCTTTACATCTTTTTTGAAACTCTTAAACCTCCTGTGTTTGGTAGTTATTAATTAGTGGCTAAACCCTTTTTCCTGCAGGTCAGTAGCTTGATAAGTAGGGCCTAAGAACAGGAAGCGTGTTTGTTTATCTCCACCTAATTAATGGAACTCCTTAGATTTTCCTGTTTGATAACACTAAATTCATCTTCATCATTGCACATTAACTGAAGGTGAGATACTTCATTGTGCCACAATACTTAAAGATAGGCAAACTAAGTAAGGTACTGAAAATCGTAGAATGCAAAAACAGGTTGCCGGGGGAAGGTGAGCTGGATCGGGAGGGACAAAGAAACTCACAACACAAACGCCACTGAGTTCGGCTCCTTATCATGTCAACCAGTGTATCCAACCAGACGTGTTTATCGTCTTTCGGACCACAGCCAGGGAGTAGGGACACACCAACCGACGCCAACTTCGAAGTGAGGGACTTCTGTTGACCAAGTCACCGCTTGGCCACTCTCCTCGTCTTTCATCCGCACCAACGGGGCACAAACAACGCACGACGCGGGAGTCGGTTGGCTGGCATGCGCGAGAGGAGGTAGCCTATAGCCTTAATTGATTAGGCAACTGGGTAAGGAGTACAAAGAATAGGCAACTGTGTGAGTGAAAAATAGAAAATGAAGCTCGTTATTTGAAAGTAAAAGTAATGCTATTTGCGAGCCCAAAGACTAGTAAAATTAGCCTAAGAGCGAGAGAACGAAAGAAACCAACCGTTTAGAAATCCTATTTGATTCTTCCAGTGTACCGACATAACAACAAGGAAAGAATCTCGATAACACTGCAACGGGAGATTCGACCGGACGACGCTAATCACTTGAATCAGTTCTAATGCTAGAGGCTGTTGGAAATCGATTGCGCTCTTTTTCTATCAAGTGCCCTATCTGACTCAATGCGCTTTATCATGTCTTCACCTTTGTGCGGCTTCTGTCGTCCCTGTGATACATCCGTACCAACATTTGTAGCTTGAGCAGTTCTAGCATGCCATCTTTCGCCTTTATAGCTGTTTTTCCGTACACTTTTTCGCGCAACTTCAGCCTTGCAGTTTTTTTATCATACAGGGTATGCGAACCCAGGTTGTTAAAGACCATTGTTAACGAATTATAATTATCGATCACTTCATTTTCCAAGATCGCAAAGCGATGTTCTTAGCTTACACAACTTCTACTTCTGCGTTGTTTCGGAATTTAAGTATATTGGCCATTTGTTCAGGCACAACAGTAACATCTTGCTGGACAGAGAAGGCCACGTCATCCACATAGACTATGGATTCATCTTGTCTGCTTCACCTGGAAAAAATATTGGCTTCGAAGCAAGCCCATTCAAGCTGACTGCGGAACAGGTTGCCGTCATGGGTGGGGTCGGCAGCGACATGTTCGAATACTTCAAGTGCCTTTTACTACGTGGTCTTTTGGCTGCTCGGAAACACATGGAACGAGTGAGTTAATCTGCCGGTATTTCGTCATTTCATAATAACAACGATTCTTCTTATTTATCACGCACACACATATTGAAGACCATTTTACCATTCTCTACCGGTTGCTTAGCTGTCTAACTTCTAGCACTCATAGCCATCATATTTAATGCCATTCTTTGGAACTTGCAACAGAGGCACGCGCTTTTCGCCTGAAAATTGTCACTTGCCTTATGTGTCCTACAGTTAACTCACCGGCTCTCCTTATGATTACCATTGTTATCTAGCTGGCCCGTCGTTTATTGCCTCCTATCTCAGATATGTGTGCTTGTCGAAATCGCTCGAGCTACCTGCCCCCAACTACCATGCTTCGCACGCGGTGGAGGCTCGGCGGCAATCTCTGGTCTACGGCAGCGGTTTCAGATGTCGCGAACAGAGGAACAGCTCCGCCAATCCACCGAGCACATGGTTGAAGCTTCTTTGCATTCAATAACTACGAAACTATACGATAGTTTCCAGTACTATACCAATGGGATCCAGTGATACTAGGTACATTCCACGTTTTCGTTCTACGCTCAGAAGTCGCCGTTTCCTCGTCACCTGCTTGCTGGTCAGTTTTGAACTATACCACGCTTTCCATTTGTGTTTGGTCAAGGTGACTCCTAAAATGTGATACAGTTCAAAAGAGATACAAGGCTGTTTATTATTTTGTGAACTTTTTTTTATCCATTTTGTTATTTTGTGACATTTGCGTATATTTTTATTCTACCTCCGGGATGTGCATACAAACTATGGCATAAGGACACAACTTACTTGCTTTCCATACTTTTTAAACATTCGTCTACTATGACTTCGACTTTGCCTGTTATCTGCTCGCACTGTACAGACTAACGATGCTTCAGTTGCATACCGGTTGATCTTCCTCCGTTTTGTCTCATGCACCCTTAGTTTTCTTTCCATTGCACCATGATTGACCCATGCTAGTGCTGGATGGTTCTTGCGTTTTTTGATCGGTTTCGTCCTTCATTGACTTTCTTTGACAGGTATCGGAATACATTTCTCGTCAGCTTTTCAACAGTGGATTGGGCTTTTGCGTTTTAAGGGGCCTTGAGGTATTCCCGAATACTGTGGAGGTAGTGCGAAATTGTGCACCTCATTAGTGCTCATTCCACGCACGACTCATGTGTTTGCAGTCTACCATTTTCCCAGGGTAAAACATAACTCTAATAGCGCTAAGACACCTTAGTGTGTATGATACTTTCCCCGAATCGCGGCGTTTGTCACGTGCACAAGCTAGTGTAATAGAACCACTGGTTTGCTTAACTACATGTGATTCTATTTGACCCAACCAAAGGTTTCAACAGCACATCAATCCTTTGTGCTGATGCCTCGTTTTCAAACAACTGCATGTTGTTATACAAGGGCACCAAAACCTAAGGAAGAGCGTGAGTAACAACCTGTGACCCAGAGTCTGCAAGGCAGGTTCCTCAGCCATTACATCACTAACACCCAGCTACCATGCGTAAGCCGAACGTCACCTTCGTACCAACAGCTTCACTCAACTCAAACTCTGTCATGTATTCCATGTGACATCCCGTTTGATCAAACCGGATATATTGTCATCTGGCGGACACCTAACGATTTCTACTTAAACTTATGTTCTCATTTCACGGATAGCAGGAGATATCTGCAAGCAATTTGATCCACTTCATCATCAGTATCAACGACGGCAAAACACCGTTTTTTGCATTTTCGCTTCGTTGCACTATACCGATAAATTAAAACGTGAACCTGGTACTAAGGAATAATGAAGGACAAAGAGGATCTATCATCGTGTCTGGCAACATAGAGCAAGTGTTCGGTTTTTTTAAGATACCTGCGCCTTTTCTTTGCTGCAAGGTCACAAGTGGCTAACGGTTTTGTGATGGGAGTGCGGTGTTAGCAAGACACCCCCTCCTTTCCGCTTCACGGTACCGATATCATCGGGGGAACTAAGATTTTTTTGAGGATGTGGTAGATCGTACGGTTCGGAATGGCCCATAGTCCGGGGTGAGAGTGAGCGTGTGTAGTGAGTAAAGCGGTGCGTATAGCATGTTAAGAACCGAGGTGCCGGTATGATGCTGGTGGTGCAATGAGTGCGAACTGTTGTTTGGAAATGATATCCAAGTGAGAGAGACCCTCTGTGAGTTTATAGCTTTCTTTAGGCCCACGTTCATTTCGAATATAGCGGCGCGGCATCTGTAACCACCCATTCTGGCTTCCCGAACCACACGCCTATCAGCCATGCATCATCAGACGATTCATCTACACACAAACTACGTATATTCACAGGAACCACCCAGTATCTTGTACATCGACGATGGCGCTATCCTACTGTAGTAATCTTTACCCCCGTGCACTCTTCAAATTGGGGGGACTAGGTCAACATTTGGCAACTCACTCACGTAATATTACAGGGTTCCCCGCCTCAACGTATGGTTTTAACGAGACTGACTACACCTGCTCCATTTGCCGACGAATGTTCACTTGCGAAGGTAGTCTGTCCCAGCACAACCGGTGAGCCCATCTGGACGAGTATAACGACGAGTGCTTAGCACAGCATCCACCCCATCCTTACAACTGGTTCACAATTGAAGACACTTACTTGTTTGCCAGCGCTACGGACTTAATTGACGCGATGGAAGATCTAAAAGTACTTCTGTCCCAGCTTGATGGCCATTTTTCATTCCGATCGAAAAGGAGCGCCACGAAACAGCCGCCAGCACTCGGTTGATACGTTTTCGCCTTTAAGCAACGAACATCGAGGATACCAGACAATGCTAACTCACAACTAACGGGCGCTATTACCTCATCTTCTACCGGACCTTTGGTAATACTTATATCCCGAATCACCACTGATTCATCAGAAATCGGCATTAACCAACTCAGTTCTATCAGGGAACTATGGGTCACACTCTCACCACTTCAGCTACTGGGACCTGACGGCACATATTTTGACAACGCATCGAGCTACACACAGTATCATGCTACCAGCTATTCCCCACGTGATTCGGGACTTGCCGACTTCGTCCAACACGTTTCGTCACCGAACACAATTCATGCATCTTTTATGCATGTCCAGTGGCACTGTAGGACCACTCTATCGTCTGCATTCTTCTCCAGAGATTCCGGATATGATAACTGGAGATCACTGGTAGATATAGATGCCATATAATCTCATCTGCGTCTGACTGCAACTTATGGCGGCTAGTAGGGACGGCACACCGGCTCTTGCATCTCCTGGCGGGTCAGTACGACCGTAAGGCTTCTGTTCTAGCTGGTCTCCATTACCGAGGCGGTTTAAGAGCGTCTTTCATCTAACAGATCAACGACCTTAGCATTGAACAGTTCCCCCACACCTGAAAATCCCTGAAACGCCACACCCGAACACTGACAGCCATCAACAGTCACCAACGCCGGCAGTCGTAGTTTGGTCGTATCCAAAAACTGTCACGTCCGCCGCAATGATTCAGCGTCAACAGTACTCGACGAGCGCTGGCCCAGAGCATACATACAGGAGGAAGGACAAATGCCTGGATTCACTAAATTTTGAAAGGCGGTGTCCAGTCAACAGGTGCCCTCCTCGTCGCCTTGTGCAGACGAAGTAGAACAACATTGAGTGGCTTACTAGCGATAGATACAAGTGGCCTGTGATCAGTAAAGACAGTTGTTTTGCGGCCGAACCTATAATTGTTGAAGCGTCCTACGGCGTAAACCAGCGCCAGTACTTCCTTCTCAGTTTGTACGTAACGACGCTCGACCTCTGTGAGCGTACGACTGCGGAAATCGACAGGCTTACTGCTTTGTATAATCACAGCTATAATGCCGTATTGACTACTGTCACACTGAATCTCCAGTGGAAGCGAGCGATCAAAGTGGGGAAGGACAGGCGCTTTTGTAATTAGTCCCCTGATCTTCCGAAAGACATTTTCTTGTCCAGGACCCTAGTACTAAGCTTCACCCTTATGGGTCAGCTTTCGAATCGATATCATCAAATCGGCCAATCATGGAAGTAAACAACTCAAGTATTTAACCATCCCGTTTAGCCTACCAACTGCCTTTGCATCAGTGAGGGGACACATCTCGTTTGTGGCCCTGATTTTCTATGAATCCTGTTTCAGTCCTGTTGAACTCGGCACGTGTCCATGAAATGCCACTTCGGTTTTACGTGGCTCGAATTTCACACGCTTTAGTTTGATGTTTCTTTCACTATAGCGTTGCAGAAACTGGTGATGATTACGATCACGTTCTTCTTGACTAGCACCAAAAACTAGCACGTCAACCGCTGCACAAAAGACTCCGGGCAGATCTTCCATTGCTTGCAGCAGCCACTTCTGAAATATCTCACTGGATACCTTCAAATCAAAGGGCAAACGCAGCCACCTAAAACGTCCGAAAGGCGTTCCAAATGTGGTCAGATAGCTAGACTCTTCGTCAAGTGCTACGTGCCCGAAGACTGAAGCGAGGTCGACTTTCGTGAACATTTCTGCCTTTTATAACTCTGGTAGCATGTCATCTATTGTCGGTAGGGTATAGTACTTTCTTCTGAGCGAGGCATTGAGCAGTTTAGGGTCGATACGCCCATGCAAATCACCGGATTTCTTAGTGACAATTGCCATTTGGCTTACCCAATCTGTCGGCTCATGGACCTTGACTACGACGCCCAGACTGGACAAACGCTGCAGTTCTTCTAATACCTTTTCGCTCAAAGCAATCTTATCGCTATGACGAAGACATGCTTACGCCCTGACATAAGTGTCATCGAGATCCCACTGCCAGGCATGTCCATTGTTTGGCACGAACGACCCAGCAAAGGTGGATGTTGGCTCTGTACTGTCCCGGTGACCTCCAGGGTGAGCCTATAGAGGATCTGGTCAGCAAGGTATAGGATTCCCCTTGGTGCTATCTACGTTTAAAAGGCGATGACATCTGCTTGGTGGCGGTCATTGACCGCCCTCCTTCCTCCTCGCCCGAGATGGACTTCCATCTAAATCTGCACTAAGGCGAGTGATAAAAATTACAGTCACATTCTCATTAATGGTAGTTTCAACATCCACGCTCTAGAACCCCAAGGAGCTCCCGGAGAACCGTTTAAGGTCGATCTATAAAACTTTGTTTCCAGTTTCCCGCTGTATGGCCACATCAGCACTCCCACCCTAATACTGGATCGGATATTCACCAACGAAGAACTGATGGTCGAAAGGGTGACTGTCGACGTCCCCTTGGGCCGCAGCGATCATGCAGTACTACTCTTCGAATTCATTTGCTATGCAGAATATCCCGTGAAAATTGCCTACGCAACGAGAACGTATGTACGCTAAGACGTATTAGCTCGACTAGGTGAGACAGCTGACTGGACATCTCTGGCAGACGAGGCACCAACTAGTGCTTGGGAACATATCGTCAGCCAGCTTAACTCCCTGGTTGACGAAGCATCAGCCACTAAGGCGTTCCATCCGAAGAACGTGGTCTCGTTTCTGCGAAGCAGGACACGCAAGTGTATTACGGTGCGAAACTCAAATTGGCATCCCTACAAACTCCTCGAGCACCGAGAACTGGATGGCCTATGCGACCCAACCGAACCACTGTATTTAGCTTGTCCTCGAGGATAGAATTGCGTGCCAGCAGAAGTTGGGAGTGTATATGGCCTCAAACCTTAAGCTTTTGTATCAACACGCCAACAGCCTACGTAAGGTGAAACGGGGAATTAATCCACTTCAATCAGCGGGTTGACCCACACGGACACCGAAGAAGGCGGCGAATACCCTACGCCTACAGTATGTTGCAACATTTCAGTACGATCACTGGCCACATAACCATACGACAAAGGTTGTTCCACTGCTCAAAACTCACTCACCTTTCTTTCACAGCAGAAGCTATATTAAAAAAGCTGTTGAGTATGCGCAAGAATAGCTCTCTTGGAGTTGATACTATACACACGAAGTCGCTAGCGGCAATAGGAGAGAGTTTAACTGTGCCTTTGGCTCCGTTTTTCCAACACTGTTTTGACAAAATGTACTTGCCCGACATGTGGAATCACGAGATGATTACTCCTATTCACAAGAGAGGTAGTCGTTCCAATGTAGCCAACTACCGTCCGGTAATCTTACTATTGGTTTTTTCGAAGGTCATGGAAGCTATTATTTCTGATTCGCTAACGGCCTACTTGGAAGAATTTAACTACCTCGCACCGCAACAGCATGGTTTCCGACAAAATGAGTCGTGCGCTACAAATCTACGACTACACGATCCAGCTGGACGGTAGCAGTGGACTCTCTCACAGGAGTTAATATAGCATTACTCGAATTCTCTAAAGCCTTCGACCATAACGTTCTGCTCTTCAAACTCCAGACCTTTGGTATTGGTGATCCTTATTTGGGATGGATTTGAAGCTTTTTTCTACCCCTTCGCTTAGAAGTACGCGTGTGTGAATCGCTCTCAGATTCCATCCGAGTTGAATGCGGAGTACCACAAGGATCGGTACTAGGGCCGCGCTTATTTTTTATGTATATTATCGATAACACACGCCTCATAAGCTCGAACTACTTGCTTTATGCCGATGACCTCAACGTGTGGAGCGCTAACCAATACACCCGATGATATCACAGTACTACAAGGCGATCTGGTTAGGGTATGCGCATGGGCAATCCAGCATCTACTTCGACTCAATGTGGACAAATGTAGTGTTGCTTCTACGGCACAAGTTAGTGTACTTCTACAAACTCTGCAACCAAGAGCTTAAAATGTCTTCGGGAAAGAAGGATCTGGGAGTTTCGGTCCAGGTCGATCTTGGATGTTCGGTTCAGGCTGAAACCGCTTCAAGGAGGGGCATCCAACATGTTGGCCCTCTGAAGCAGACGTTTCGAGGATTTGACCCATCGATTTTTCCACATCTTCTGGGCTCATACCTACGGCCACATGTGGAATACGCAACACAGGTCTAGCAGCTCTAGCTGAGGAAAGATCTCATCGCCTTGGAGATACGCTAACACCGGGCAACCAAGCATTTGAATGGTCTGTATAGTTTTCCGTATGAACGAAGACTTTAAGTGCTCGAGGTCTTCAGTGGATAAGATCGACGATTGCATTAAGACCTCATTTAAGAGACCCCAACGACACGTGGCGCTGGTTGTTAGAGCCCAGTCACAACAGTAATTTGAGAGGCCACGGTCTCAAGCTGGCAGAGCAGCACAGTCGTTTGGAATACCGTCTCAATTTCTTTCCCGTACGCGTTTGCCGTGCGTGGAATGCCTTACCAGAATCTGTCATATGTGCTCTCACGCTGGCAGAGTTCAAAGCCCGAGTTGACCGTGCACCCATTTCGCTGCACCATCTCACATGACTCATTACCGATGGATAAACACAAGTGTCTGTAAGAGAATTCACTGGCACTCAAATCCCAGATTTCGTTCCACTTTTTCACCCACTGTATGTGTACACAAGGAGACAATTTTTACCAACAACTCACTTGCCGTCATTCCTTATGGGTCTACCTTAGATTTTCAGCTTTACTACGTATACGTCGGTGAGTTCACCGATGTAAACCCAATTTTACCAAAAAATTTTCTATATTCTATTTTTCACCATGACCATTCTACGGGACCTGTTAAGTTTTAGCTTTCTCTCCCGTATAAAACCATTGTTCTATTGCCGGGACTTTTCATTTTTCACCAATTTTCCAGAGCGGTGTCTCTTGGGGTGCATGGTCCAACCTGATCATTCAAAGCAACGGAACGTTGTTGAATACTTTGATTCGTAAGGTAGTAAATGCGGAGCCGGTGTCAAGCAGATAAGGGGTCAATTATACATGTTCACGTTTGCGTGCACACGGAATATTGGACGCGAAATGGCTGACCTCACTTTGAACCCATTTGGTCCGGGATTCATTCACTCTGGAATTCAAAACCCCCCGTCATTCTTGCTTATCTAACTAACGCAGCAGGGATAATCGGATTAGTGAGTATTGTGTGATTTGACGCTGATAGGTTCAAGTTCCTATGCTGTTCATCACCACTGTATCTGTAGCACTTTACATTATCTGAGTGACGTAGAGGAAGCGCTTGGTTGACCTCGTTGAAGCGGGGTTACCCTTCAATGGGAGGTCGAGGTATACCTTTTCCTTAGGTGTCGTCAACACCGTAACAAGCCAACTTTGCGGGGCGCGTTGTCCGTCTTAAGGATAATTAGATTAAAGTCGGCATTGTTTACTGATATTGCATTAAACTTTACAGACCCATCCGTGAAAGGCACAGATGGATCGCTCGGTTAAACCACCAATTTGTTCATTTTGTAGCAGCAGACTCCTCCACCTGATACCTGTCCCTTCATTTCCAACTGTGAAGTGACTGTTAATATTCCCTCCCTAGCCTCACTGTGTGATCTGTAAATGTTGGGCACATGTTAATTGTCGCCAGATATGTTTGGCACTGCGTTATTTCCTTTTTCGTATTAGCTTATGAACTTTCGTTCACTGCACCTCGGTCACATGCACTTCAAACCTGACTATTGACTATGTCGCACTTATGCCAATTATTGTTGCTTTATTATTGAAACGTTCGCTTCACTGAGTGCGCTTTAACTGACGATCACTATGACAGCAAATCGTGGATGCTTCTTCCTGACTATACTCCTGATCATAACGCTCCGGGCACCCGGACATTACTGACCGAGAAAAAATTACTATAATAAAACAGCCCTCATACTCAATTGATATTGCTCTAAGCAACGCTGGTATTAAGGAGCATCGTGGAAGAATGCTTCCAGCAGTGCGACGGAGCGTGGTAAAGAATGACGGAAACCCGCATTAAACCCGACGGGGAATGTCCTGAAGGTGAAGTTATACAGTTTGTTGTTTTCGAGCTACTGGGATTCTATCAGTAATATAAAATATCACTGATAGCTCTTTGTGATTTTCCTGCTAAATTAAGTCGCCGTTTCACTTGAAGCCTCTGTACATACTATTGGATACTTACGGAATTCTAGGGCAACAGACGGAAACTGTGGAACTCGCACCGTCGATTCCTCCTCGCAGATCATAACGCATCCGTCGAACAACCGAAAGAATACAGATCGACCCGAAACTCAAACGGTATGTTCAAACTTAAAGCAGGATGTTATGGGGACCCAACGTCCCTATAATTATTACAGGCTTAAAGTACGGAAGGCTGAAAACTCGATTCATACAAGTGCACATGTACTCGGATCAGACAAAACGCGCACGTTCAATCAGCCTTCCAACTCGTGAAACATTCACATTGTTTAGCCTTTGCACCCAGAAACAGTCTCGTTTCCAACCAAACACTCATTGTTGTATCCAAGCAACATTTATTTTCCGGACAACTATCGCCAAACTACCAACATTCCTGCGCAGTTTATGGACTTTGCATATTTACATAAAACCATGTTTCTTGTTTCCAGGGTTTGCTTACACAAACCCTTCCAAGGGAAAAAAACCCCTTCATCACCGTTTCGTGATATAAAAATGAGGCTGTACAACGCTAAAATCGCCTTAGCGTTGGCCAGTAAAAGCGCCTGTGGCAAAAGGCCTGTCTTGTTCTTGATTCTGTCTTGGGTTGGGAAATCGTGCGTAGAAACTTTGCGTTCGATCTAGGAACCCGTTCGACTCGCGTGAATTAATCTTTCGCGGCTAAGTTCCGAGAACCCACAGACTTCGAGATTGTCAGTTACCGTACTGTGCGAGAAATAATTCTGAGTCTACTTTCGTTCATCCGACTAGGAGAGTTGGTATCACGTTGTTAGAACCTGACGTATTCAAAAGGCAGTATTCAACAGCAGTCAACCTGGTACTATTGCAGTAGACCACAAAGTTGCTGCATAAAACCAAGTTAGACAGATCTCCCATGTTACCGCTTCATGCGTTCACCAATTTAACCGTGCATGCGGGAGCAAGCAAACTGGCCGTATTGAGAGGTTGCCAAACAGGAGCATAGAGCCCATTTGGCGGCGCTTACCAGTTCGCTTGCGTAGTATCTTCCGACTGCACTGTGCAATCAGTAAACAAAGTAGTCCAATCGGCCCCGCACCCGAATACGGAAGCCCGAACATTGCAAAGCCTAGGTTTGCCCTGGTGAGGTGTAGGTTTATTCCCTGGAAGCAATGACCTCGGTCACCACACTTTCCAAATGATTGCTCGTATCGACCATTTGTCACCGGCATACATTTGATATTGTCAATGTTCATGTGTAAGCGATTGATTGAGAGTATGCGGAATAATCTGAATTAAGTTAATACCGCGATATATCATTTGTTCTTGCTATTTCTGAAGGAGGACGGTTGCATCAAACTGACGTTGCTGTCAGCCGGAAGGTCATTTTACATAAGCAAGGAATAATCAAAGCCGGTAAAGGTAAACAAACCTGAAAAGCCTGCTCGAAACCATCACTCTCTTCGATCGACCCAGGAGACGGCTCGGTCTCGGGCACCATTTCAACTGAGTAACGTACAACGTAGAAAGCGTCCGATGCGCATAAAGCGACCAGCTGACCGGCCTCGTTCCAATATACGGCACGTGGGCAAATATCAATGCGCCGAACCAAGCGGCCAGTAACCCATTCGTAGAGTGATAATCCGCCCAAAGAGCGGACACCAAGAAGATGTCCACCGAATATTTGTTCAGCGCCGTAGTCAAGCTTAAACGTTCGAAGTTCCTTGAATTGCCTGTACACCTAAAACAAAAGTAACCAAACAGTGGAGATTGATCATTGATGATAGAAAATAAGGCGAAAAAAGGTGCTAAATCATAACGGTTTCCCACAAGGAAGATATGGTGAAAAAGGTAGGAACGTGACAGCCTCTAGAAAAGGAAAGGTACTACAAAAATGGTCATATGAGAGCAAAAGTAGCATTAGCAAAACGATGGATGCGACATTTGAATAAAAGTGTGAAGGGCGTATGCGATAATGAAGCACCGCTGGTTCAGTACAGCGGCGGACGGCAATGGTCCGTAAGATAAAAGAATCAACATCGTCTAAAACAGAGGCCTGGGACAGGACTGAGCGAATGAACGATATATGAAAAAACGTCAATACTCGGAATCGCTGATCAAAGACCAGGCAGAATATTCCGAAGTGTCGTTCGGTAGGCCTGTTGTATAGGCATCACTGTTACAATCACATGAACCAACTAACAATGTTGGCGACTAAGTTTAAAAGTTTCCTAGTGATGTACGAGTGAAACAGGACGCCTGATATCGACTTATCCCCAGCCTTACCGAAAGACGCAAACAATTCACGCGTTGTTAGCCCAACCAACATCAAGTTCACTGTGATAGCTTCGAAAAGTTATGCAAATCGAATTCGTGTACGTCGACTTGATTACCGACTGTCGCCAGATATTTGCAATATGGTAGGTTCCTAAACAACGCGACGAAATCAGTGGCAGATACATTAGCAAATACGCATATGCACCGAAAAGCGGGGAATATCATTTTTACACGGAAGTAATGTTATGATTTACGCGGCTTAAAACGATAATAAAAATAAGGCATAAAATATAGAATTTCGGATCATTAATTTTGCCTCGGATCATTGACCTGGATACTCAGAATGTAGTCGAAATCGAGACTGCAGTGACCACACCATTACTTTGCGTCAACTGTTGAATCACCGCTATATTTATTTGGCGACCCACCGCTGCCGTGTTTCTTGACATTAAAGGTGCCTTCGATTCGGTAGATCAATGTGCCCATTAGGGTTGTCTGCTCAGAAAAGATGTACCCAATAAATATGTAAACATTGTCAGAACGCCGTGGGCACATGGTTCGAGCAGAGTGAGGGTTTTTGGCAAACTGTCACTGCCTTTCAATATCTCCAACGGTGTGAGACACGGTTACCCGCTGTCACCTATCCTCTTCAAATTCGTCTTTGAAAAAGTCTTGAAAATAGTGTTCCCTGGACACGACTTACAAGGTGTGTAGCTGCTTCCTGGTGAGTGATTTCTTGACTTGGAGCATGCTGACGATATTGCCCTAATCTGTGACAGCTCCCAAACGTGTCAAGCAGCATTGGACAGATAAATAGTGGCTGTCAATCGTTTTGGGCTTTGCTTATCTACCTTAGAAATACTAAGCCCTCCATGATTGGCAGGGATCCAAGCGTGCGCTGACCCTCAGTGGTGATCAGCTAGAAGGCGTTCAGGAATTCAAGTATCTTGGCAGCTGTATTGGCGCCCGTAGCATCGAATTTGAGTTTACGAAAGGTATAGCTAAAGCTCGAGGTGCTTTTGCCAATCTCCGCAATCTGTGGCGTCCCCGCGACATCACTGTCGCCCTGAAAGGCAGAGTATAGAACGCCGCCGTCCGTTCAACCCTCCTATACGGTAGCGAAACCTGGCCCGTCAGGTCGACAGACAAAGAGGCTAGCTACGTTTGACCATCGCTGTCTTCGGGGCTTAACTCATGTCTGGTGAGAACACCGCATGGGTAATGAACGTGTTCGGCGCCGCGTATTTGGTGCAGGAAGAGCGAGTAAACCGCCCAGCACCATTATATAACGATGACTGGGCCGCGTGTTGCGCATGTCAGCACACCGAGTTGTTTGTGTGCCCAGAGTGTGGATGGAAGAAGAGGTGGGGAGGCAAAGCGATGACTTGGTCAAGAGGAATGAAAACCCTCAGTATGAAATTAGCGCATCTCGACTGCCGGGCTGGGGTGCCACAGCATGACGAACACGCTTGGTTAGATACACCGATGGCATTTGTGTTGTGTCTAGGTCCACCCCCTTCAATTAAGATTTTATACTAAATGAATAATATGATATTAATATGACGTTACTTGTCTTCGTACTTCATGTAATCTGTAGTTTTCAGTAGCTTCTTTTTATATTGCGGCACATTAGGCGAGGAGTGATCCTCACCCACAGCAAAGGTGTGTTGATGATGATGAAAATGTAAATGTATGAATATGTGAACCATTGTTTTCAAATTTTCTACGTAGCGAAACTCGGTAGCAGTCAAAAGTAGGGTAAGGGGAGTAGGTTGCACAGGTACAAGTTTAATTGCATGAGTAAGCTGACTGCAGGCCTTCAGCTGCGCATATATTGTCTAGACCAGCTTCCGTCAGTGTTGTTGGAGATTGTCAAGCCGCGTTTTTGACAGATTCGGTATAGTGAGGAAATCCTCTTTAGAATTTCGAGATGTCGCATGGTTAGCACCCGTGCGTACCTGCAGTGGTAGCCGGTTTCACTGATTGGCATCCCAGTAAAAAGGTCAATCGGCTGAAAAGGTAACATTTTGGGTCGGAAAATCCTACGGAGCGTTCAGTAAGGCAGAGAGTGATGAAAGCATTCAAATGGAATGAACCAATGAATTCATATGTTTGTGGACAGCGCCGAAAAAGCTGGCAAAGTGTTCGCAATTACACTGATCTCAATTTCACAGGTCTTCGCCAACCACCAACGCTACCGGTGGAGTTTGGGGTTCAGAGTCAGGGGATGCCTCAGTGAGCTACGGATGCCTTGTAATATCGCGGTGGAACCATTCCCCTTTCTTCAACTAAATCAACGGAGGCTTTATGTGCCCACCCACGACCCAGACGCCTCAGACTGGTCGGATAATCATCATCGAGTGCTGCATGTATTGTGTATTGAGGCGATGCCGGTCCGTCTCATTCGTCAATGACAACCGATGCTGCGATGCAGACTGCTATTTCTGCCTCGTGGACAGTGAATACAATAGATCAACAGACATCATCGAAATTGAGCGCTTGGTTGAGGATAGAGAAATGAGTTTTGGACATGCACGCACAGCAGCAGATAGAAAATGAGCATAAACTCTTCAAAGCAAACGAACAACTTGCATTGAACGCGCCAAGTAGACCTGATGGTGATGTGATCAATTTGAGTCCGGCAAAGCCTGTCTGTTGACCTTACATTTCTGTTGACAGCATGGACAACCAATACAGCTATTAAAATCACGTTTCAAGCAACAAAGTAGTAGGGCGGCTCGATGTACCTCCGGCGGAACCAGCTTCCTAATTTAGACTAGACCGATTGACTAGATCTCAAACTATCGAAGATTGCCTGTCACATGGCGTGTGAGCAAAACTAAGTTGGCGAACTCCGAGTTAACCACAACGGATGAATTTTAGACCAATGAAACCTAACGGTGATTCAAGCTGAACAGACTGTATTTTGGCATGTGCTAATTAACAGGCGTTCATTCATCAAGGTCTTTGTTTCTGATTTCCGGTTACATTGGGAACGTTGCGAAGAACCTGATTTCGATAAACGGAATCACAAGCGTAAGCAGATCTTAACAACAGGCGACGGAGTAGTTTAGATTAAGGAAGCTGAAAGTACCGTTTTCAGTATAACTGACCAACATGACCATGCTTTTGCAGGCGTGCCTCGCACTGCCGAGAACAAAACATTTATTTATTTGCATACTAAAATAGCAGAAGAAATTCGAAGGAAGTCAAAGGTAATCGAGAACAACGTCCAGCGCCTTACGGTGTAAGCAAGGCCAAATACTGAACAAATACTGAACATTCGCGCGGGGATATCGTCTCTAAAAGCATTTGTCAATTTTAATACGACCCGGATGCTGGCCTGACCTTCGAATCTTGGTTCAGAAAGTACCAAGACGTCTTCCGGTCTGAGGTTGTCGATGCTGATGATGCATGGAAGTTCAGACTGCTTCTACGTAAGTTAAGAACCAAAGAACATGACAAGTTTCTCAATATTATTCAGTCCAAATACCCCAAGGATTTCACATTCGATCAACTGATACCCATGTTAAAGGACGTTCCATGGAATCATCCTCCTTTGCTCAGCATCCAATATAGTTGCATAAAGCTCGTTAAGTGTACCTCCGATGATTTCGTTTCTTACGCAAGCGATGTCAACCGCCATGACGAGCGTATCAGGCGAAAAGAGATGACGGACTATTAGTCTAAATCGCTGATTTTCATTTGTTGTCTTCCAGCACCAGAGGACACAAAATCACGCAAGAGGTTGCTGAATAAAGGTGAGCAGGATCTCGTCAAGAATCTCAAGTCAATCACCACTGCATACCAGAGGCTGATATAAGCAAAACACCACACAAACATGATTGCCCAAGGCAGCAGTCCATGTAGTGTAGATCAGTTGGCGGTACCAAACCAGCGGAAAAGTACAACGAAGGTGCCAAACCCCATGAAGCCGAACAAGCCGCCATCCGAATGTTGGCAATGCGGGAAACGGCATTTTGTCGAATTTTACCCATTTAAAAAGTATCGATGTCGGAAATGCAACAAATGAGGCAACAAGGTGGATCACTGCTATCTCACAGCGTTCCCACTCGAAGTAGACACAGATATCGCGGTCATATCAGAGAAAACTTGGAAGGAAAGCGGTGAACCATGTATCCAGAAAACAACTCAGGTTGTCGCCAATGCTACTTACTGTTACGCAAATAACCAACTTATTACACAGCTGTTTTTCTGTTTTCCTCTGGCTTAACAGAATCCATTCAAAGTAAAGAACTTTTTCCGGTAAACTCCCATCAGAACTAAACGTTTATATAGCACTGATTGCGTGGAAGGCGTCAAATCTGGCTAGGATTGACTTATGGGCTGTACGAACGACAAAAATTGATAACTTGAGATGGTAAGCTAAGTGAACTAAATAAACGTGCATACACCAACATCAGTAGTCCGAAGTAAGTAGGTAAGGAACGACCAAATAGCTAAGTAACAGTGTCAGTCGGTCACGGTAGTAGCCGTATGAATCATCTTTGTACACATAATTCAGATGGTGGATGTAGGTAGATAGTCCCGGCGATGGATAAGAGCTGTTTGCGGAAACCTTGGGAGAAGTGTTTAGGTAGTGATTAGATGACTTTGAAGTCATTTTTGGAAGTTGTATGGTCACAGTCAAGGAGGTGCGACATGAGGGAGCTGTCTGAGGACCTTATTTCTCCTTCGAAAAACCATGCCGCGATGTCCTCACGAATCCTCTGAGATAGGCGCTTCGTAGTGCGATCTACGTAGCGTGCACCACATGAGCACGAGTACTGAAAAATGATCATTAAACCAGTCAACGACAGCAGTCTATCTCTCAAGGGTTTTGTAGGCAATGGCTTCTTGTGATAAACAATTCCCAGGTGGAACGCGAAGTAAGTTTTATCAGTAGTATTTTTCAGGCGTCGGGATAACATATCAGCTGCAGAATCGTAATTAAATGGCATATATATATATATATATATATATATATATATATATATATATATGCCCCATGTTGAGGCTGATGTTGCATTCATGATGCTTCCGTTTATTTCCTAAGCGCTTACATAACCAAAAGGACCACAGACGTTGATATTCCAGCTCAGCAACTAAAGGAACCTTCAGCAGACGATTCTTATTTGATGGTGTATATTATAGGCAGATAGACGGTGTAGCGATGGTGTCTCCCTCGGACCGCTTCTTGCGGATATTTTCCTAGCGAAACTTGAACGTAGACCTCTACAGTCAGTAATCTCTTCGTTTGATGCATACTGGATGATACCTTTATTGTCTGCGACTCAAGCATCGATGTTACTCGTCTGCTAGCTCAGTTCAACAGGACGCATCCTTCGCTGCATTTCACCAGTGAATTGGAAAACGATGGCAAGCTAGCCTTCCTGGAAGTATTGTTAAAGCGACGTGAGGATGGGTCACTTGAAAGAAGCGTCTTGTGGAAGGCTACATGGGTAGTCCAGTACACCCACTTTCTGAGTTTCATACCTTTGAATTACAAATGAAACTTGGTTAGTTGCTTGTATTATCGTGTCGGCAAAATCTGTAGCCCGGAAACATTGGGAAAAGAGAAAGACCGCATATTTCGTACGCTGCAAGATAATGGTTACCTCGGTCAGTTCATTAGAAAACACGCCACAGTCCGTGTATGCCAAGAAACTGTTCTGACTGCACGGAAGAGATGTCCTTCTCTCAGTTCCTTACAAAGATGATTTCGCTTTTAATCTATTGAACGGACGACTCTCTACCGCAGTCGCTAAAGCCTACCCAGCCGCTTACCCGCGTGTTCTTGCTCAGACAACTCCGTTTATCACCCAACGCCTTAAGGACAGACTGCCGGTTCGGTCCCAAGCATATGTTCTATATCAATTTACTCGCACCTGTGGTGTAAGATAGATTCGGCACACGACCGGACGTCTGTCCAAACAGATAGCAGGACAGTATCGGGGATCCATACGAAGAGAAACGGTCAGAAATATTCATAGTGCTATCATGGAGCACCTATTTCAAACTGACCATGAGATACGGACAGGGTCTTCTATGCCGTATCAAAGCAATATCCTAAAGGGCTTAGAAAGCGCCTCCTGAAGATGGCTAAGGTGATTGCAATCAGAGTGATTCAGCCAGAAGTGTGCAAACAAAGGGTTCTTGTCCAAGCCCTCCTATTACCATGGCCGGACGCTGAGAGCAAAGGAGGATGATCTTCATCCCACTGGCTGTCACGAGAGTTACTTTGAGTGGATCAATGTTAGCTTCGATTGAGTTGACCAGCTCGGTTCAAATCATTTTCTGTACTAACATTAGTACTGCTTTCACTAGCACACCGTTGATTTACACCTTGTAAATGTATTGTCTGGAGGAAGTTATAGAAAAGAGAGCGCCTCTTTGCAACTTGGAGTGCTGAAAGGAAAGACTGCGGGAAGCGATGATACTTTTCGGATAACTACCCCGAGACATGGAATTTGATCGAGATGCACACCTCCTAACCCATGGCCCCAGTTTGATATGCAAGATAGTAGGATAAAAGGAATGTCGCTTGCGAGACCAGACCGAAAACCCCGAAAGGAACATCTGACGGTGGGGAACACGTCCAGCTAGGGAGCATGATTACAGTCTCGTAGCGATCTGCTTACGGACCATATCACACCGCCTTGGATGATACAAAACTATCTATGCATCTTGAGGGCGGGTGTTGGCTACCCAAAAACTGCACTCCACGGCCAATTTCGAACTTTCTTTTTTCATCAGGTAGAGAAAGCAGGTGCCTTAGGAATGTCCGCAGAATCTCCTACCCCTATGCCAACGAGACACGGCGAGCAAAATCCGACACATCGATTAATGACCGAGTGGGAGTAATTTCTAAGCATGTGATGTGCGGTTGGATTGCCGCGCGTAATCTCAACTTCCAGCTGTTTCAGTTACAGTCCGAGCGATCGTATTAACTAAGGTTCACTTGAATGCGAATCGCGGTTCATATGGCGATCGCACGTCGCAATCCAATCACACAAAAATTGCTTCAAAATGACCTATTCAATTCGCGTGCTTTTATAGTAGTATATTACGCACACTGGACTGCAGCTAACGGTGAGTTGGCTGGTTTGCATCCTTTGATGAAAGGCTGCTTGAACTGAGTTTATATCCCTTAGCTTAATGCCTTTCATGGCTAGGTGTAGAAGGGAAATGGCCACTAAAATTTTAAACTAAACTGGCAGATACTGTGACTGAGTTGGTCTGTCTCTTAACCATAGACTTGTCTGTTATGAGTGGCTCTGAAGGTACTTAGAAAGTAACTCCCAGCGTAGTTCAGTGGGTCACGGTGTGCAAACCATCGCAGCACGTAAAGGCCTAGGGTCGACGCGGTGGGTACTTAAGTAATTAAGTAAAGCAACCCATCAATACGAGGAAATACCGAACGAATGTAGAAAAAAATGAAAACTGGTTAACTATGCAAAACAGACGAAGTGGAAAAATAGACAAACCTTAATGATAGTGTTGCTTTCGCGTACGGCATACATGCTAGCATCCGACTGGGACCACACGAACTCTTGCGCCTGGCCGAAGGTTTTATTCCGAAGAGCCATTGCCGTATATACGATGTACTCACCATCTCCACACACTACCACGAAACGCCCGTTGGCATTGTGCTCGATCGTTTGGGGATAAATTTCACTAGTCCCCATGTCCTTGAAGCTAACCGGTAAACGCTCGCCATCCTAATTTGGTAAAAGACAAAGTGAAGCCAGTGGCAGCAGGAAGTATTGAGTAGTTAAAATCGATATGGATTGGGAGAAAAATAACTGGAGTTATAGCAACTTAATATGCTAATCATCTGCACTGTGTATGTATTTCAGTGTAAACACGTAAATACTTAATGGACCAACAGTAGATATTCCAAAAGATCAGTCAAAAGATACTCTAACGCTATGGGGGTAGAAAAGATTCTAGGACAAATTGGAAACCAAATTAATTGGAAACAAGTCAAGATGAGAATTATGTGCATGGATGAGCGCATTCTTAGCATTTTGCACAATCAACTGCAAATAAACAAAAGTGGTAAGTAGCATACCGCTATGTAGATGTAAAAGGGATGAGTGATGGTAAGTAAGCAGAGCAGTTAAAATGGGAAATTAACCAAACATCATCCCTACTAACCAACGCAGTAAGTGAAGATCAATGTGTACAGTCAAAATACAGCTAATATTGCCTAAGACAGTTTAATTTGACTGCAATCGGATTGTGCCCCATCTCGGAGGATAGAACATGGTAGAAAATGGAATGCGCACCAGCACAAGTACAATAATAAAAATCCGCTGACTTCTTGGTTCAATTAGTGTAATAACATGGTTCAGAAGAAAGCTGATTATCCGCGAGAAAAGATCATCCTGGGATAGACAACTCACATGTAAAATATCCAACCCATCGTTACCAAACGTAACTGAACGTAGGTTTGCTTGAATTAACTCTGCATGTCGTGCGCAAACCAGTTTACCCGAGCCATCCATTGACATTGCGGGTTCATCCCGCCCAAGAGATATCACAACTGTGCCCTCGTCATATCCGATCCCAACAGTCTGCTTTCCACGATGGCAAACCATAGCCCAAACACGTTCCAGCCCATAGTTGAGAGTGGATTCCAGGCGAAAAGTACTTGAATGCCACACGCGGACAGTACCATCCTCGGAACCACTAAGAATAATAGGAAGTTCCGGATGGAAGACGACTGCGCTGGAAAGAAAACACAGAAAACAAACCAGACGCTTTGATAAAAGGATATAAGGTGTTTGAGCCTATTTTTAGAAGATAGGGAGATAGTATCTATTGGATACATATTCAGATGTGGCCCAGCCTAGAAGACTGCGATTTCTGTTGACAATGCGCCTGTCGCCTTAAACTACATCACATATGACACATGAACCTTATGTACATAAAAACAAAATCGCATTAACCGACACCCGTTTTTCTGGGAAAACCGAAGAATGTGACATTTCAAATTGCAGGAAATCATATGTGAACGGTTCAGTAGGACAAAGGTCTGCTGAGCAGGCCCACTGTTTTCGGTTCGTTGTTTACAGTTGTCATCTCTTATGAAAACCATCACTCACCATCCCGCGGGACATGTCAAACTTTGGAATTTTCATCCGTGTAGTACGGAGTGTAACTTAGTACCTATTGAAGGATGAGTTGTCCACTACCCATCAGCTACAGACAGTGCACGGAAGGGCGTGTCAGAGGTCATACTTAAGTGCGCACCCACACGGACTTGGTGAAGCGCCACAATCTGACTCAGTACCGGAATCCAGTTAAAGAAACAGCCCTATGAACTCAGCATAAAGTATACAAGTGGCGATACACTGGATAAATGAGACCAGTGCCGAGTTAACCGATTAAAAAGAAAGCAAGAGCAGCCCGATTAAACGAACGGCTTGATATATAAATAGCAGATCAAGTGATGACATGCCCACTAGATTAACAGATGCAGGACAGTATTCTCAGAATAACCAGATTCCGAAGTTGATAACAACGAAGAGTCATCGGATCAGAAGTGTTGTTATACAGAAGAGGCTGATAACAGAAAAGGGGAAACTTAGTTGGTAGTAGGTAACTGTTATGTTAACTCGGGCAAAGTACGGACCCAAGGAAGAACACAATGAGTAAGCCAACGTATGAGAAAACGAACAAATGATTCGTGGTCAGATTCTCCAAGTGAAACAATCTGATGAGCCGTCCAATAGGCATGCTGAGAAGCAATTTCCATCGGAACCACCCTGGCCAACCATGTTTTGATGCCTCACCTCGGAAAGTAACTGATGTTAAAGCGAAATACGACACACAGACTTAACAAAGCCCCATCATATTCATCAAAAAAATACAGCGAATCATTTGCTGTTGGTCTGGTCACCTTATGCGAAATGATGCACGAATGGGCTCTCAAACATGTGGTTTTCCACACACATGAACGTCACGTATCTTTAAGTCAGTTGGTTTCCGCTTGGGTAATAATATAATAATAATGTGTCAGCTGTACGCCGTAACGGCGCTTCGCTTCCGCGCGACCACCACCAGTCGCGCGCGGGCTGAGTATACCGCGAGGACGCCCACCCCTACACGGATTCGAACCGGTGACCTTATGGTTGCAAAGCAAACGTGCAGACCACACGGCCACCGGCCGACTTCCGCTTGGGTGGAAAGCATAGTGGCCATCTATTAGCATTGCAGCAAGTACTGGGATAAAGCCACAAATATAGGGCCTACTATGACCCCCTTCCAGGTCCGGAAGGCTGCCCATGTCCCAGTTGACTACATTTGATTGTGGTGCTGTCCAATGCTAAGTGATGTAATGCGGAATTTTTCCTATACTGATATATCTCCATTGGGACGCGGTGGCAAGTAAAGGTCTGCCGGAATCTGTTTCTGAATTCTACACGATGCGTGGGGTGTGTTGCCGTCGCCACCATTCAATCCACTTTCCTCATGAATAATTCCCATGAAATCAGAAGTTCACAATTGCGCGAAGAACATTCTTTTCGGTACATCTAATCAGGCATTTACAATTATAGAGCAAAATGAAAGCCAGGTCTAAATTAGAAAGAACCACGGAATCCACACAATCCATTGGCTTGGCATGGCCGATCATCGATCAATGTTTTAGACAGTGGAAGTAGGCAGCTCGGACAAAACACACACGGTGAGCGAAACGATCATAAATGAATCTGATCACTGTGTTTCTTCTGAAGTGGAAAAGCAATCGAGCAACTGAGTGAAAATAAAGGAGTATGGCAGTGAGACTGCTCGCTGTACATAGCATCTAACCCTCATAAAGTTCCGCCAAATGGACCAAGGGAGCGCTGCACACTTGGAAACTTGCTTCGCGCCATTATTAACGAGCCATCACTAGTTCGGTTCTCACAAGTATTCGCTTGAAGAGGCTAATCGGTTCACCTACCTCGGTGACTGCATCACCTTTGGTGGTTGAATGATTGAAGTGGGGACTGCGCAGATAGAGAAAATCTACGGAAGTTACCAAGCTTCGACCACACAAGGGCACAGTGTGACGTAAGCCTGTCGATCAAGTGCAGAAGATACATTTTCAATGCGGTTATGGCTGTTAGTTGGATAAGAAGCCTGGCTATTGTGAGTTGAAAACATTAGGCTAGTAGTCCTTTAGCAACAGTGCCTATGCAGCATTGTTCGCATATGATGGCACAAAGATGTGAGAAATGTAGAGGACCCACTGGCGATGATTGATGCATTTGAATCGACTGTGATAACTACTTCACGTTCATCGAGTGCATGTAGTCAGTGAACTTTGGCATACATTGTTCACCAATACTTCGTCTGGTTCAAGCCTCAGAATGATCAGCCACTGGTCTAGAGAATAGTTCTAAACTGACCAACCGAAAGACGGCCGAGTAAACGGGATCAGGCATTTGGTATATAGAGCAGTCGCAAAACCAATAGAATCAAAAGTTTTGACAGCAGTTTCCAGCTAGCAACCATTCCATTTGACGAATGTCATTTTTAGTTATTCTCCATCGAATTTTACGCTTATGTTTGTGATCAGTTTCGACTCCTAATTCATAGAAGCTTATGAATATTACCATAATAAATAAGCGACACACTTCATAGTACGTGGGACCGTTACACATTAGCACTGGAATCACAGAGGACTAAATGGAATTAAATTTGTCCGTAAGTCACCATTTACAAGTTTATTAGGGTGGCTAGAAAGCTGGTAACAATAATAACCAGATGTATATTTCTCATGATTCGAGGAACTGTCTGTAGCGGCACAGATTAATAGGTACAAGAGTGACCATGCTGTTGCATGGGCGATACGTATATGTGTGACACTGAAGCATGAGATTCATTTAATACTGACTTAGTGAATGGTTGAGGTGAAAGCCACGCTTTAGTAAGGTGGATGCATAGACGTTTTCGGCCCCACTTTGAACAGTTCATCGAAGGATGTCATAATTGTATTCAGGTCAAGGCAACTTGCGAGTTTATTACTATATGCTGTCACATTTTCACATGTACTGTGATTAGCACTTTATTCCACAGATAGGTATATTTAACCAAGAAGAATTTGGAGTGCACGTTGGTTCCGGTCCTTGGTACAATCAGCGCACAATCTCCGTAGCGAAGCCCACGAAGTGAGCTACGTTGCAATTCGAAAGATCGGAATACGTCTCCTTGTGTAGCAGGTAGTAAAGCAGCATTAATCGTCGTATCTGGGGTAATTCGAGTTGAAGTTTCTTGCAACGCTCTCGATAGTCGATGGCAGGATGCATACCAGTCGAACGTTTAGTAAACGACATCTGAAAGTTTTCGAGAGCAATTACGTCAGTTCTTATGTTGCCGTAGATTGTGCTCAGTACTGGAGGAGGACGCAAATAGCTTACAAGTTCAACTCGAGCATGGAATGTGGATTTTGTTGGATATATTAACCACAGATTGCCATTCCCGCGCTATGCGGTATTAAGCTTGTCCGGATAAGTTGAAATTCGATGAGTACCTAATTCCGAGATCGCGCGTGGGCAGTTGTATACAGATATGTTTATTGCTGGGTACAATATATCATTCGGTGATGGAACAGCCGTAAGACAAGATGCTTGACTTGCTAGTCTATATGTCCATCATTCAAGAGTAGCACCAGGACTCAAGTGAATATAAGCCATCTCGAATGAACAACAGCGTTTAGTGAAGTTAGTCATGTCGAAGTTTATATGCGATCTTGATATTGCCGAAGAATGAAGATGGCTGGACATATTTTACGGAGATGATGTCATCGGTGTGGAACAAGAACAGCGAAGGGTCGAACAAGCTCCCTTTGATGACCACACTAGTAATAAAGCGTGGAGAAGAGCCACAGCTACCTAGTGACAACGTGGTGGTGACGATGGCCAACCTAGTAATGGGTCCTGAATAACAAACGCTTCTAATTTCTTTAAGAACTACTTGTGAGGTACTCGGTCGAATGCTTGGTGCATGCCCAGAAATAAAAGTACCACTGCGTAGCCGGAATCGACAGATACTGAAATGCGGTTCAGATAATGCAACTGACATGTGGTGCATGACCGCCTGTCCAGATGATTATGCTGCGACTTAGTTATTAGATCTAGAGAAATAATGAAGTGCAGCACGCACTTTTAACCTGTTTTTCAGATAAAGGTGCGAGAATATGAGTATGATAGATTAGACGGCAATAAGCTGCATTCAGTTACTTATCCCGTAGCTATGTTGTCAGGAATCTATATTGGCGGATATATCGGTACCAGTCAGTTTCAATCCTGATTCAGCAAATTATGGATTATGTTTTGTGTGGCATCTTTCCGCAGATCTTAGAGTTCCGCCTTACAATTTTACGCCACTTAGAAGTGACGAAGAAATCCCCGTGTGGTTTCTGTTCGAAAATTGTTGAACACACGGTAAATGCCTTTAAGTGTTTTGATTGCTGTGCTAGCTTAAATAGTTCGTGTGTTGGATTACTTGTCGATTCCTATTGACACTTTGTTTCATTCAACGTGATTTCATCCACATTCTAATCAACGATTGTCGCAGTCGAAGGCAGCCAGAGAAAAGTCTGACATCCACCGATATAAATTACGGCCAAAATATTGCCATGTAAACTGGCCAAGATTCCCATCGGAGGTAAAACACAACCTTCCCCCTTCCTTTGACATTGTATCACCTCGCCAGCCTAATTTCCAAGGAAGATGACACCA